CTCAAAACTTGTTGGAATAGGCGCAATGCTATTTGCACCTCTTTTAATGTCATAATCAGGCAAAGTCATTCACAAGAAATGTAAAAAATAGATTTTAATGTTGACGTGTATTAAGAGAAAATCACTTAATAAGGGTGTATTTAGCATTTAAAATATCCCATATTACATTCTTGTCCTTCATTGAAATCGTAACACTCTAAAATAACATTACCTAGATTCTACACTTCATGTTCAAGTGTTAAAACAAGTACCAAAGTAGATTACACAAGGAACCAAATAAAAAGAAAATCTAGAAGGTTCAAATTTCAACAAAGATGAGGAGCGTGCGTGAGTTTTCCAATATATATATATATATATATCTCAAAATAAATTATGGCAAATCACCATTCTGGCTTCCAGGATTCATACTTCCCACCTTGGTGACTATGTTTTTAGCCGTATCCCTCAACCATTGAAGAATCTGTTCCGTTGCATTCACTTAAGGAACACCTTTTTGCAACTTGTTTCTTAACCACTTGTGGCAGACTTCAACTTCTAGCATAACGTTTTAGCCACCTTTTGAATGGTTAAGTAGTCATCCATAGCATTGAAACATTCTTCCACAAGTGTGACATGTACAAGACCTTAACAAGGTATCAACTATGTTATTTTTGGATGTTAGATAGAGAAATGGCGATGGTTATCAAGGTAAGCTCCAACAATGGAGGAACTCTTCTTCAAGTAAAGGTGGAACATGACGACTGTCAAACTTTTCAACTCCTTCAAAACGTCTAGAAGCTTCATAATTAAAAGAACATCCAATGCTGTGATGTTTGTGAGAAGTTGTTTTGTTGTCCATGGTTGATACATAAGGTAACAAGTTAGCCATCATGGTGCACATATATAAAGACCATGCTTCCAAGCTTTGCGGCCTGGCATTGGATGTTGAGATCCATGGGTAGCTTCATTGCGACAAGATAGAGAAGCGAATGAAATATTTATGTGGGAACCATAGTTTTCTGTTCACCATTGCAAGGGACACGGTACATAGATGCTACAACCATATAGATTCCAATCCATATATAGCATTGGTTTGTTGAACCTGTTTTGCTCATCTGAACATTAAAGTCCTCAATGAATCTATCATGTCTCTTGGAATGGTACTATAAGATATACATCTGAATCTAAACCCATAGTTAAGTTCAGAAAATGATGATTTGAGATAAACTAAAAACTGGGTGTAAGTAAATTAAGATCGATACAAAAGTTACTAAAATTGATCTGGTACATTTCATTAGTGTTGAGATTCAATTAAGATTGATCGATGGATGAATATACATTCTTACTCTTCTCATTATAACTTTCATTCGCACAAGACATAACCGTTTAATTAGAGGCTCTTATTTGTTAGACTTGTAGGCGAAGGATCGTGCGAGAAGAGAAGTTATAGTAAAAAGCTTAAGAAGAGATCTGAACCCTTGATCACTTTTAATCTCATGTCAATCCATGAATTGCATTTTAGAATGTAACTGATCTGGTGCATCTCGGTGCACCTCATTAGTGTTGACATTCAATCCTAGACTTCTATTGATTCTCTTTAATACATATTGGAACATTTACATAATTTTTAAAACACTATTTTAGAAAGTAATCTGATGAGACTTCACATATCTCATATTTTGTTTGGAAGCATTCCAATATTCTTGTGTGTTTTTGTATCTGTTATTGAATGACACTAGTTTGTACACAGTGATGTTTTCAATACAATCAAGGCATACAAACAAGGCCTCGAACGAACTATTTTCACAAGTGGAATTTTCCCTGTGAAGCTTCTACTTGGAAATGAGGTTGTATTTTCTAATGCCCTCAGATGTTGTATTTATTTTGGAACAAATCGAATGAAAACGCTAATATTTTCCTTTTGGAGATGAAGTAACATTTCGGTAGTTTAAAGGTTAAACAAAGTAAAATGGATTAAAATGGAAGTTTGATTTTTTTTTTCTCGTTTTTGTTGTGTTCTTTGTATGAGTTCCAAGATTAGTGTGTGTGTTTGTTTACGAATGGCACGAGTTTGTACACGGTGCGTGAAGTTTGATTGAACTGTCTCCAAACATAGAGTCTTCTTATTCATCCTCCTGCACCGCTAGGTATAACAGTTATTCAAAAACAAAATTTTGCAAAAAAACTGTTATAACGAAGATGAACCCAATAACTTTTAAAAATCAACTTAAAACTATAATAAAAATTATTAGTAACTCACAATCTAACGTTTATAAAAGAAACTATAAATCTTATCTTCTGCCTACATAATACGAGTTATTACAACCCCATCTCAATTTGAAAAGTTTAAAAATCAAATGTTTTATAATCTACACTATATTATACAACATTTGACAAAAACTCTTAAAAATTATTTTTTATGCATAAAATATTGTTTATTGATGCATATTACTTAAAATTCATGATTACAAGTAGATTGTGCATAACTACAAACTATTAAAGCTTTATGTTTGAATTCGTGTAAACTGCCGATAAACATAATTAAATACATGATAAACATCTCATTTTAATTATAAAAAATCTAAAATATAATTTGGGTAATAATTGAGTTCTAACAAAATACTTGGTTATTATATTTATAAAAAATATATTATTAAACCAAAAATGAATTGATTCATTATTAAACTTATAGAATTGTATTATTAAACCAAAAAATTATATTATGTTATTTTTTTAAATTTTTATGATATTTTCAAATTTATATTTTATTCAAAAATAAAAATATTATCGCTTTCTTAAAAACCACAGAAAATCGTATTCTGACATCGATAGAGATATGAAATAAAACGAAACATTAACATCGATATGTGTCTCGCTAAATTACACGAATACCGTTCTAGTATAATATAAATGATATTAATTTAAGAACCAAAAAGAGCAGAAGGCCGTGTGGGCCAAGTTGGTTTATGTCCAGCTAAACCCAACTTCACTTGGCCCAACTTCAATAGCCCATATATTAAATGGTCCAACTTCAATAGCCCATAGTTAATGGCCCAACTTCAATAGCCCATATATTAAATGGTCCAACTTCAATAGCCCATATGTTAGGTGGCCCAACTTCAATAGCCCATAATTATCAATTCTTCTTGAATCAATCTCGTCGGGATTAAGCCATAGTCGTTGTACTTATTATCTATTATTTATGAAGAGGAAGGTCTTAATTTAAATCCATTGGCACTATTACGGGTGTTTTATCAATAATTCATTTTAATAATCGAGAATGTTAAATGATATGGTAAGTAAAAGTAGTGACTTTTGTCGATAAATGTTTATCTGGTAAGCGTTTGATAAACGATCCTTAGTAGTAATTCATCTGTTAAGAAAATTGATGTTTAAAGGTGATATATATAATTATTATATACTTAAAAAAAACATAAGATTTAATAATCTATAACAAGTTATTATCATATCTTTTTATATTCTATGCTTGTGAGTTTAATCAGACTATCTATTATCAATTATGCATGATCAAAGACCGTTTAAAATTGGATATGCATGAATTTTTTTTCTTTCCCAAATTGCGACTATGGTTGGAACATCGAGTTTAGGCTATGAAATGCGGGCAATTGCAATTAGTGATTCATATATGAATCAGTTAAATCGTTCACATGTGAACTAATTAACGAGTTCATATATTTAATTTTATAAAATATATGTCTTAAAAGGAGTTTTATTTTAATATAGTATAGATAACATATTTGATGGTGTAATATTATGGGTGTTCATGGGTTGGGTTGATCGGGTTGAAGACGTTTGAACAATCCAACTCAATGTTTGAGGTTTGAAAAATCTTAAGCCAACCCAACCAAAACCATATGGGTTGGTCTGGTTGATACTTTGGTATTCTAACCTTGAATATGTTATTTCTCTACGCATAATTTATTTTTCATCATTAACCATTTGATACAACTTATTCATACTTCTTACGTATATCACATTCGGTTAATTTTCTCAATTTACATGTATATGTTCACAGTTACTGAATATATATATATATATATATATATATAGGGGCCTAATCAAATGAGAACTAATTAGTTTGTGGTAACTGTGAGAACCAATATTAACCACAAATCAATAGATAAATTAGGAAATTTATAATTTTGGCAATTTTGAATTAAAATATTAATGCAAGGATATTTTTGGTATTTTAAAACTTTCCTCCTTCCTCTCTTCTCTCTCCGGCGACCGTCCTCCGGTGATACTACAATGGTATCACAATGCATCATATATGTGCTTGGGTATCACATTGATGTCGTTTGTGTGGTCGATYGAAGATGTAACACAGTGGTATCACTATGCATCTTATATATGATTAGGAATCACAATGTATCTTTTGTTTAACAGAGTCAATACTTTTATGTATCACAGTGGTATCATAGTGGTATCACCGGAGGACGGTGGCCGGAGGCCGGAGAATGTTGGCCGGAGAGAGGAGAGGAGAGGAGAGAGGAGAGTTTTAAAATACCAAAAATATCYTTGCATTAAGATTTTAATTTAAAATTACCAAATTTATAAATTTCCTAATTTATCTATTGATTTGTAGTTAATATTGGTTCTCACAGTTACCACAAATAACTCAGTTCTCCCTTGAATAGACCCCTATATATATATATATATATATATATATATATATATAAATGAGTTATATAGAGATGTAAATAGATTGAAAATATATGTATATCAAAATTGTACGTAATTATTTAATGTATATATTAATGGAAATTCTACAATCATATTAAATTCATGAAATAAAAGAATATCGGATTTATAACTCTATTTCAGATTAAGTTATAGGTTTTTATCACCTCTATCGTAATAGTAAAATAATATAGCAGTTTGGTGACTTATCTTATGTTTCTACGTGTAAACATGATCAAATGCCACGTAAACCTTCCTTTCTATTCTCTTGTAACCTCCATCCTGTTCATTTTTTCCTCATTCCGGTTTTCCTCCTCCGGCAAACATGAGCATCAACGACGTCCCACCAAACGCAGAACAACATCCACAAACCCTCGCCGTCGACGTAACCCTCGTACGCCTTCCTCATCTAACCGATTACCTTCCCCACCTACAAACCCACACCACCCCTTTAGAACACAACAACTATTACTCTCCTCCCGACGGGTTCTATCTCTCCCACTCCGACGTCATCCTTCGCCGGACCATCTACGACCTCTCCACCAACGGTCTCTACTCCTCCCATCACTCCGCCTACCACCGTGCTGGACCACGCAAACAGATATTCTACCAACCCCAAAACGTGCGAGCCGCCATTGTTACTTGCGGAGGCCTCTGCCCTGGCCTCAACACCGTTATCCGCGAGCTGGTTGTGGGATTGTGGGAGCAATATGGAGTCCGGGAGATTTTTGGAATCAAGGCGGGTTATCGTGGGTTTTATTCGTCGGATCCGGTTAGAATTGATGTCAAAATGGTTCACAACTGGCATAAGAGAGGGGGTACCGTACTTGAGACCTCCAGAGGTGGTTTTGATCTTCACAAGATCGTCAATGCCATTGAAGATCGTGGATATAATCAGGTTCGTTTTAAAGGGTTATTGGTTTCTTTTTGTTGCGATATTCAGGTGAGTGAGTGGACTCGGACATGAATAGGTCTGCCCTGTTTTGGTTGTTCATATGCAGGTGTACATCATTGGGGGAGATGGTACTCTCCGGGGAGCTGTTAAAATATTCAATGAAATCCATCGTCGTAAATTGAATGTTGGTGTTGCCGCAATTCCCAAAACAGTAGATAACGATGTCGGAATCATCGATAGGTCATTCGGGTTTCAGACAGCTGTTGAGAAAGCCCAGCAAGCCATCAGTGCAGCTCATGTGGAGGCCGAGAGTGCACCCAATGGCATCGGCCTTGTTAAACTCATGGGTCGAAGCACTGGCCACATTGCTCTTAATGCAACCCTAAGCAGTCGCGATGTGGACTGTTGTTTGATACCCGAAAACGAATTTTACCTGGAGGGCAAAGGTGGTCTCTTTGAGTTTCTTGATGAGCGTTTGAAAGAAAACGGTCACGCTGTTGTCGTGGTGGCAGAAGGAGCTGGACAAGACATGATACCGAGAACCGATGCCCAGAAACAGGAGGAGGATGAATCTGGGAATCCAGTGTTTTTAGACGTAGGGGTGTGGTTGAAATCGGAGTTGAAGCGGTGGTGGGAGAGGGATCATGAAGGTGAGTTGTTTACGGTCAAGTTCATCGATCCGACATACATGATTCGTGCTGTTACAGCCAATGCTACAGATAATTTATATTGTACGTTGTTGGCGCACTCGGCCGTTCATGGAATCATGGCGGGGTACACGGGGTTTGTAGCTGGTCCGATTAACGGAAACTATGCATACATTCCCATGGATGAGATTGCTGAGACCAAAAATGAAGTGGACACCAAAGATCACAACTGGGCATGGGTGAGATCTGTGACGATGCAGCCTGATTTTCGGTCGTGAAGCTCTCATTCTAGTTTGATAAGAGCATGATATGTAATAGAAAATGTGACGAAGGTGTTATAAGTGCTTCCATCATTACAATAAATATTCCAACACTTTGGTGATAGTTTTACACATTTGCATAAACTTTATTTTTTATATTAAATAATATCTTTACGATGCAAGGATCCTTGTTGGGGTCGGGTGGGGTGTAGGTGAGTGGCAATTGTGAGGACGACAATAGTGGTGTGGGGTCAGGTTAGGGGCGGGGCGGGGCAGTGGGGATGGGTGGCAGCTATAACGACGACGGTGGTGGGATGGTGGTCGGGTGGCTGGGAGTGGGTGGGTATGACGGCTGACAATAGTGGCATGGTGATTAGTGGTGGTTGTGTAACACTACGGTTACATAATAAACACTTATCGAACCATCATTAAGTTAATTTAGTTTTAAAAACCTCAAAATACGGGATAACAATTTATAATCTAAAATACATATTTAAAGGTTAATATTTACATAACAAACTATAACATAATCATCAGGGACATATCTACCTGGAACATACAAATTATATACAACCCAAAAGAATAACATATACTTATACCAAAAGTAGGCTTCACAAGACAATTCCTAATCGATCAACTGATCTTGTTCACCGCTGACTCCCACTGGGCAATGAGTACGGCAACCCCTCCGATTGTCTCACCCGAATTCATGGGATGTCAACAATCGGCGCCCAAAATGCACCACAAGACAATATAAGCAATAAGACAATTGGATGGGATACTTAAAAACTAACATGAATCATGGATGAACAAGAAAACAAATAAGCATCCATAATCATAAATACACCCATATGTCCACATAAACTCACAGTGTTGCTTAATCTATTCGGTTGGTCAAATCGAAAGCCTCGATCCAACTTCGAGTTTCCATAGTGCAAACACTCGTCACAAGCTCCCAATGTGATCTATATAACACTAGTAGTACAATTACCAAGTATCATAACCTAACATTACAATTTACACCATCTAAATTCTTTTTAATTGACAATTACATTTTAAAATTCCTTTGCACAGCTTTGTTTTCAAGCCTTGTTTTTCCCTATAAAACCTAATAATCACAAAATAGCATCAAAATACAATTTGTATTACTATTTCCTAGCTTTCCAATGCCTTCGACCTCACATTTTTGTGATTTTTCTATGATTTTTCTAAAACAGAGTTGTATCATGACTTTTTAACTCGAAAATAACTATTTTTTTTTCCTTCACAATTTCATGTTAAATCCCAAACCATTTTGTTCCAAATTCATATATTAGTCTTATATTACTATAACTTATACGAAATCATCATGAATCCAACCATTATTTTACCAAACATCCGTCTATTTCATCATCATACAATATTGACTATCAAAAGTCAAACTTTTTCAAACTATATCATGATTTCGACAAGATAATATGTTATATATCATCTATCCTACATAATATCAAGATTTCAACTCATAATCCTCAACATGCAATTCATGGTTTCTTGAACTTAAATTGAACACATAGTCAAGAATGGAAGTATACCTTTGAAATCATCAATAATCTTGCGAAATTTCACCAATTTCTTGTAAAAACACCCAAGATTGATACTCTTGAAGTCTCCTGAAGTTGGAAGTTAAACGGGGAAGAAAAATAGGTCCAAAATCGTTTTCTTTTAACCTAAGATTGCTAAAACCCGAGTTGGGTCGGGTTTGACCCAGTTGGGTGCCCACTTTGACCACCAAACACTTAAACATTCATAACTTTTCGTTTGAACCTCCGTTTTCGATGAGGTCCGCCTACGCGTTTCTTATTGAGCCTACTTTCACCTCAAACTCTTAAATTTCCAAAATTCATCTCAGGAAAACATTTGTGAAATTCAATGAAATTCAAAAGATTTCATTCATTTTAAGAAATGGTATGGTGGTGGTGCGGGGTTAAGGGTGAGGTATGACGAACAACAATAACATGGTCATGGTGGGTAGTGATGAAATTCAATTCCTTTCATCTTTGCCAAAGAATGATGAATTCTATTCATTTCAAGAAATGAACCAAACAAATGAATTGTAATTTAATCAAAGAAATTTACCATTCCAATTCCATTAAATTTTTTCAAATTCTGCAAACCAAACGGGGTTAAGTTAATGGGACCACTACAAACACTATGTCATACACTTTAAGAAACCATGTTATATAATCAAATGATGGAACTAATTAATCAAAAAAGTACCCAAAAACACACCTAAGTTGGTGTGCCGCTGTCATTAGAAGTAGTAGGTAAAGAATATAAGATGGGAACATTGATGTTATCATCGACTATGATTATCTAACAGTTTAAGTACAGTTGATATAAAACTGCTAATTCATACAGGGCCATTGAACCGGCCCAATCAGCAACCAAAGCTGTATGCATTATATGAACAGAAAGCAACTGTCCGGGATCAGAGTATCCAGGGAAAAGCAGAATATTTGATGGAAGAATGGGGGATCCTTTTGAACAACCTGTTATAATAGGAAAGCCTTATATCTTGAAATGGCTCGTCATCATTTAGCTATTGTCATCTACAATACCACAAATAAATCAACACAAAATCTTAGAAATAACGTAAGAGTAATTAAAAGTGAGTCCTCTATTTGTGTATAAATTAAAAACGTACTCGTGTAATGCTGTAAGATACATCTTGATTTTAATATTTTATTTTATTCTTTAATATTTGAAAAAGAATTTCAAAATATCATAAAAATTTGACAAAAATATATCGATATTAGTATCAAATTAACTATTTAAAATTTCTATTTTTTGTATAGTTTTTTAATTCGAAATTTTTATTATAATTTAATTTACGTTCAGTAACGAAATAATTTATATTTGGTTTAATAATATAGTTTTCTTRTAAAKATAATAATTAATTATTTTGTTAAAGCTCGATAATTATCCTAATTATATTTTATATATTTTTTTATTTTTAAATGAGATGTTTATCCTTTATTTGATTATGTTTATCAGTAGTTAGTTATACGAATTCAAACATGAAGCTTTAATAAGTTATATTTATGCATAATTTACTTGTAATCTTGAATTTTAAGTAATATGCATCAATATAGAGTACTTTATGCATAAAAAATGATTTTTAAAAGTTTTTATCAAAAGCTTTATAATATAGCATAAATATTATAGAGAGATTCAAATAAAAATCATTTAATTAATATAAATAATTAAAATATTTATAGAAATAATAAGATTTATTTATAGTGGATATAGGGTAAGGAATGAGCAAGGTTCTTTTAAAGAGGAGTATGGTTGGTGTGATATTAGTTCACATTGTTTACCAAATCCACTCTTTCCTTTCACACACTACTTATTCTTTTCATATTATTTACTCTCAGGTTATATAAATCAAGAAAAAAATAATACTCGATATAAAAAATATATATATTGTTTTTTTTATATGTTAGATATATAATTAGGATAATAATTGATAATTAATAGAATACTTAGTTATTATCATTATAAAAAATTTATACTATATTATAAAACATTTGACAAAAACTCTTAAAAACGATTTTTTATGCACGAAGTATTGTTTATTGATGCATATTACTTAAAATTTAAGATTACAAGTAAATTGTGATAATTAGGATAATCTTGGTTATTATCTTTATAAAAAAACTATATAAACATAATCAAGATAATAACTAAGTATTCTGGTAGTTATCAATGATTATCTTAATTATATTTTAATTTTTTTATATTTAAAATGAGATGTTTATCTAATATTTGATTATGTTTATCTGCAATTAGTTAGATGACTTCAAGTATAGAGTTTTAATAAGTTTTACTTATGCACAATTTACTTGTAATCTTAAATTTTAAGTAATATGCATCAATAAACAGTACTTTGTGCATAAAAAATTCGTTTTTAAATTTTTTTGTCAAATGCTTTATAAATAGTATAGATTTTTTATAATGATAATAACATAATAACTAAGTATTCTGTTAGTTATCAATGATTATCCTAATTATATTTTAGATTTTTTATATTTAAAATGAGATGTTTATCCAATATTTGATTATGTTTATTTGCAATCAGTTAGACGAATTCAAGTATGGAGCTTTAATAAGTTGTACTTATGNGTTAGACGAATTCAAGTATGGAGCTTTAATAAGTTGTACTTATGTACAATTTACTTGTAATCTTAAATTTTAATTAATATCCATCAATAAACAGTACTTCGTGCATAAAAAATCGTATTTAAGAGTTTTTGTCAAATGCTTTATAATATAGTATAGATTATATTTTTAAACCAAATATAAATTACTTCGTTATTGTACCTAAATTACATTATAATAAAAAAAATTACACAAAAAATAAGAAATTTTAAATAGTTAATTTGATATGAATATCGATATATTTTTGTTATGCATAAAATATTGTATATTGATACATATTACTTAAAATTCAAGATTAGAAGTAAATTATGCATAAGTACAATTTATTAAAGCTTCATGTTTAAATTCGTGTAACTAACTGCAGATAAATATAATCAAATACAGGATAAACATCTCATTTAAAATATAAAAAATCTAAAATATAATTAGGATAATAATTGAATTCTAACATAATACTTAATTGTTATCTTTATTAAAAATATTATTAAACCAAAATTAAGTTATTTCGTCACATTAAATTAATTTATGATAAAAAAAATTTGAATTAAAAAAATGCATAAAACAAGAACTTTTAAATAGTCAATTTGATACTAATATCAATATTTTTTTTTCAAATTTTTATGATATTTTATTTAAAAATAAAAACATTACCGTTTTCTCAAACCACATAAAACCGTATTATATCGACATAGATAAAGAATAAAATGAAACATTGAAATCGAGATATGTCTCGATGCATTGCACGAATATCCTTCTAGTTATATTATAACGTATTTGACAAAAATCTTAAAAACCATTTTTATGAATGAAGTATTGTTTATTGCTACATATTACTTAAAATTCAGGACTACAAGTAAATTGTGCATATGTATAATTTATTAAACCTCCAATTTTAAATTCGTGTAACTAACTATAGATAAATATAATCCTATACATGATAAACATCATATCTTAAATACAAAATTTTTAAAA